TAATACCACCACCACCTCTCGGAACAACACCATTTCCTAAAACAAAACAACACCCACCACCAAAAAACACCACTACATCACAATCACCGCAACGGTACCTGCACCAACGAAACACTGCTTCCAACGCCGTCACCTTCTCACCACCACCTGCACCACCAACGATTCAGCCACGCCACCAACATCGACACCACCACCCCCCTCTATCACTACCACGCCACAGATACAATCCCCACCCAAAAAAATTCCCCAAGTCGCGGTTGTAGGCACCACCAGAAATACCACCACCTCGCTAAATCACTGCACGACCACTATGAGACACCACAAAACGACAAGAAAAACCACCTACAAACACCACTATACCATAAACATCATCAATTATAGTTCTCTATGTCCTCCGCAAAATCAATGGTGAGCACTGCCATGCGCATGGCAACGGCCAGATCTATGGCCAGAGTTCCATTTAAGGTGGGCAAGCAACGAACTGAGAGCAGTGGGATCGGCCAGATCTATAGCACCACAACCAGGATCTGCAATGGCAAAGAAAGAGATAGGATATTGACGATGGTACTGCGTGCGGTGGAGAGAGAGACGACCAGTGACTTGACGTGCTTCTAAGAGACTATGACCATCGTCGATCAGTGAAGGTGTACAGAGAGACGTCGGCATCTCCACCTGAAGAGAGAGAAAGGAGAGAATGAGGCAAGAGTTAGAGAGAGAGAGAGAGATAGTTAGGGTTTATGAGTAAAATTATTTATTTTATAAAATATTAATTAGAATAAAATTTCTGATTTTTGAAAGGTTGAACTTGCCCCCTGATTTTAGAATTGAGGATTTTAGTGATAGGGTTTCGTGTAATTACCACCTATTTGTTTTTAACAAGAGCTTGATCGCTGTGAACTTTCCAAAAACAAATTTTGCGATTTTTTTTTGGTTGAGAAAATGGGGTTAAAATTAGAAATAAATTTATGGGTTCACATATAAAATTATTTTATTAAAAAATATGTGATTAAAAATAAGTTAGAAAGAAAATGAGTCTTAAAAAAATCTGTACTAAAAATTGACTAAGTACTATTTATTTATTTTAATGCAACAAATGTCCCCTCAAAATTAGTTTATTTTCTAGAAGATAAACAGATAAATAAATAAATCTTGAATCTTAAAATTTGATATACTCCTAAAAAAATATATTTCTTTTAGATTTAAATACTATTTAGCCCTTGTTTGTTTTGGACAAAAATCAGAGTTTTGGTAGATTTTGATAAAAGTTGAACGTGTTATTAAAAAGTTGTGGATCTCGGGTTACAATTAGTTAATTGTTAACTTTAACTTAAATTTAATCAACTTTTTTAATTAAATCAAATGCAGGCTTAGTAGATTTACTAGACATGTTGTTCCTATGAATTTGATTTGAACTAGAATTTTTTCAACTTAAATGAATTTTGAATAATGCTAGTCACCTAGGTATAAAAATAGGGAATTGAATTTTGCTGAGGTGGCAAAATTGCACAAAAAAAGGCAGTAATAATAGTATCTTGTACTTAATCCAATGGCTAAAAAGGCTTAAGAAACTAAACGCAAGGGGGAAACCACAAAGCGAGGAAGCAAAAGCGAGAAGCATAAGTGCCAAACCCTCCTTCCCTCTCGTCGCCGTACCTTTGCCCACCGGAGCACCTATCACCGACGAAGCATCTCCAGAGACCAGTACTCTGATAGTCCTTCCATCTCCGATCATCCCTGCTACCACTAAAGAATCAATTGCAAATGTCTAATTCACGAGGGGGTCCCCCTTGAAAGAACTTGCCAATCAAGGGGAGATCAAGAACAGAGCAAAAACCTGCCTTCACGTCCTTTTCCACACGAGTTCTTTCCTAATACATTTTGACCCTTGATATGCTAAAGAATCTTAGTATTCTTCTTTAATTCATCGTCATCATCTATCTCCAAAACATGTGTACTGCAATATTTATTTGATTGATCGCACCCCTCTTTCATATTCAAACTATCATCATTGTTAAATAAACCAGAATTTAGCTCAAGTACTCATACAATTCCTAAAGAATCTTGGCACATGACTTGTCATAAAAATTAGCAGATCATTATAACTTTAACCTAAATTGGCTCCCAAATTAGGACTGAATGGAGCAAAAAAATCCACGTTGAATCTCAACATCAGATCTAAAACCATCTCCCACAATAGCCTCTGTAAGATCGTGTTGACCTTGCCTGGCTTTTGATCCTGTGCCACCTATATGCAAAATAGATTGGGAAAAAATGTCAAAGATTATGGAAGGAAGAACAGGGAAAAAATCGATTGACTTTTGAGCTTTCAAATGTTGGAGATAAATGAGTTCCCTTTTTTTTCGCTCTTCTTGGTCGGTGACTACCAGTGCTCCGATCCACGATGGGTGCTCCGGTCGGCGATGGCGCGGCAGCAAAACGGAGGGTTTGGGAACAAATGACAAATCAGTCATGGTTTTGCACATTTTGTTCAGTTTTGTAAGTCTTTTTATTTATTTATTGTGCCTTATGCCACCTTAGCAATATCAATGTTATATTACCTGTTCTCGAGCTTGGTTTTTAGCCTGGCTGAGTAGTGGGATTGAAGAATTTTTCATAAAAGTAGGTAAATGTCTAGTTCAAGTAATAAGATCGATCAAAGGTAAATATTCTAAGTTTGAACATCAATTTTGGAAGAAGTGACATCCTATGATCCCTTTTTGATGGACTTAAAGGAATTGGTACAAGTGATTGGCAGAATTAAAGTATGCGAGAAAGAGAGTTATCTATTGTCCAAAATTCTAACTGTTTAGACAATGATTCTTCTTTTTTATTTTTTTATTTTTGTTATTTATTTATTTATTTATTTATTTTTTGCTGTAGTCTTCCAACTGGTGCAGGATTCATCCTCCTATTTTTTCGTTATTATACTTTTGAAACAAAATTTAAGTGTAGAAAAGACAAAATTGAGGAAAGAAATAAAGAATCCTTCCTTTCCAGTTGTTCAGACTTTAGCAACAATTTTAATTTTTTTTCCCTTTGGTTGTTATTTATTTCTTTTCTTTGTTGTCATGGTTGTATATAAACACTTGGTTTGAACTTTTCTTTCTCATTCTTGTCGAGGAGCGAAAAAATCCAAAAAAATTACATTTTAATAGAAAAAAAATGTGCGAACAGATGGGAGAAGCCGAACCACATTTGCTTCAAACGAGTTAATATTGTTATTTTAGAAAAAGTTAATTGATTTTTGGTTAATTGATTTTTGGATGTAAAAAACCATTAAGTCTGTTAATTTCTCTATGGTTGGGGTATAACAACTGGATAGAAAAACGTTGGGAAGCTGTGGAAAAAGTAGTGCAATTTACCCTTAAATTAAGGGAAAATTGCATATTTGATCCCAACCTTTCAAAAATTATGCCCAAATGCCTTTGGACTTAAGAGGTCGTCAAGGTAATTGTAAAATGATAAATTTGACATTCCCTTGAAATAAACAAAGAGAAAAGAAGCAAAAAGGAGAAATGACTTGCGCTATTAATGTTGGTGCATTAACAAAATGAAGGGAGAAAAATTAAGTAGGATCAACAAAATAATTTCTCTACTATAACTGCCATCACCCCAACTTTCATTGTTACCACCATCCACTCTCCACGACAATTAGATAAGTATCAGCCTCATACTACTACTACTACATTTCAACACATAAAAGTTGCATGCCATAAAATAAGTCCTATAAGTTTTATTACATGTACTTACTTATTTGGATGATTTATCGGAGAAAACAATTGATGTTAGTCCACTTACTAGTGGTCAACAAATCCTTTTCCCTTCATTGGAATCCTATGTCTCCTTCTTTATTAACAAAGATGGTTTTAGTGAGAATTTCTAATTTGATTTAGAAAAGGTGAAATTGTATCGTGACTGTAATCGTTATCATGAGCTAACCAACTTCTTAAGAAAATATACTAGAGTTGTGGTCTGGTTTGTCATTGAAACCAAATCTTTGATTTTGGTGATGATGGACGGAGGTTTAGTTGTCGACTGTGAAGGCTTTTGGTGGTTGAGATCAAGGAAGAATATGAATGAAATTTCAGACATCTTTGTTATTCTTCATTTTTGAGGGACTCATTTGATTATTTTTTCCTTTTTATTTATTTAAAAGGGGATGACAAATTTGTCAAGTTTCATTATCTTAATGGCCAAAATCGAAAGATTATGTCGAGAGTGACGAAATTTGCCTATTTTCTGAATATTGGGGATAGATGGTACCATAAAAAAGATTGGGGTATATTCCAAACTTTTGGAAATGTTGGGGGACTAAAGACACAATTCTCCCTCATTTTATATACGAAATTTCTATTTTTAAAATATATTTGAAACTGCATAGGCGGTCTGTTAATCTAAAACCGACCGGCTCTTTCTTCGTCCTCAACCGGTGAGAAAAGGAACAATGGCTGATTAACGGCTCCTCGCCCTTAGAAGCTTCCTATTTCTTTTAAGATCGATTTTTTTCTTCTATAAATTAAAATCTTCACGGTAAAATTGACATGCCGCAAACCCCCAAACCCTAATCCTTACTGGAAAGAATAATTTCTCTGTAAAAGAAAATAGTGGCTGATCAAAGAGAGCAATGGAGACTCATATCGGTCAAAACATATTTGACCGGCGCCCCATAACCAAGTCCAGAACCCCCGCTGTTAAATGGTTCAAAGAATGGTATAAAATTTAAGTCATAAAAACCGAATTAGAATTAATAGATATGTAGCACGGGATAAATGACTATGAGTCTGCCTATACCAAAGGTAGATAAGAGGTGGATCATTTTGAGGGCCTATAGGCTTTGGTATAGTGATTTTCGATTGCAATACTCTCTCTCTGTCTCTCTTTTAAATCTGCTAAATAATCTATTTGTTTTTTGTCAGTATATTCTAGTCGTATGGCCTTGTTGTGGCAGTCAATAATGGCCTTGTAAGTGTGAACTTTTGGTTAAACCCTAATAACTCTGTCATAATTTTTAGAGGCCACCCAAAAGGCGATGAAGGAGAAGTCAGAAGAGCCAGAAGTGGTGGAGCCGGAGCCTGAACCAACAACGGAAGTTCTTTTCCTTTGTAGTTATGATGGCTGTGGAAAGACATTTATTGATGCTGGGTCTTTGAGGAAGCATTCTCACATCCACGGGGAGAAATCATATATTTGCCATTATGACAACTGTGGAAAGGTAATATTTCTATTGTCTGGGGAGGAATTATGAGTTGTCCTGTTTTGAGACAAAGGCATACAACCTGTGAGTAGGATAAACTTCACTATTTCTATAGGCTTTACCATAGAGCTTAAAAGCATATTGGTCTAGTTTTCTAGGACCTATTGAATTTTTACTGTTAAAGTCCTTCCTACTTTGCCCACTTTTCAGCATACTGATTGCTGACTATGGAAGTATACCTTATAACTACTGATTTTAGACTTCGCTTTTAAATGACACAAGCATCTTGAAGTCGAACTTGCTTGTGATTTTTAAAGATTGAGAACAAATAGTATCTATTTTACAGTCATCTAGATTTACTGTTATTTGGGCCATTGATATCAGTGTGTTTTTGAGTGGGAGCATTTTTTTTTCCTTTTATTTTTTTGGTTGAAAGAAACCCTTCAAAATATCTCCTGTTAAGAAGAAATCATTTTATCATTTTATCTTTTTTATCACTGATTGTTGTGTCATACAACGTGAATTCTTGAAAAAAAAAAAAAGAAAAAAAAAGGAAGAAGAATCATTTCAACTTGTTAGTAATTTCGATTGATAACTTACTGGTTTGATGCAAAGATGCAAGTGCTGCAAATAAACTCACAGACATTACTAATTATGGCCTTAGATAATGGTTTCAGTAATTGATGCTGCCTACATCGCATGTGAAAGGGGTCTGAGTTGGGTTTTGTTCTTTTTCATATATATTTTTTTTCTTTTTTGTTCGTTTATTTGTGGTTTGAAAGTTTTGAAATTACATTTCACTTCATGACCTTTATATTGGGATAATATGACTTGCATGATTGTCCCATTGATTGTATTTTCAGCATAACAATGTGGTCGCATAGCAAGATTCTCCATTAGATGATTGTAAGTAATTTTTGCCTCATGCCCTTTTCTAGTGGTTCTTAACTAAAGCATCTGTTTGAAAGTATCTAAGTATATCGATATCAAAGGCTATTTGTACTTAATCAAGTGACCTTGTAATCCTAAAAAATTTTTTTTTTTTTTTTTTTTTTTGATAGGTAATAATTATGTTTTAGTATTTGAATCTCTATTTAATTGCTTCTGGATGGTTAGCCATACTTCTATTGATGCTTAACTAGTTATGTTCTTTCCAAGTCTGTCAAGCATTACTCACCAATATCGTGGCATATTTTGCAGAAATTTTTGGATAGTTCAAAACTGAAAAGACATTTTTTAATTCATACTGGAGCAAGAGATTTCGTATGCCCACACGATGGGTGTGGTAAGGTGAGTAATCTGTGTGCCCTATAGTTCGTCTAGAACGTATCAACACCCCCACCCCGTCCCGAGTGGCATCTGAAATTGAGGTTTATTGTATTTGAGGCCACATTGCAAAATATAGACCGTGTTCACAGTTGATACACTGTGGAGTGTTAAGACATCATTAGAATTTTGTTCTTTCTGTAATCCTGAAGAATTTCTCAGTTCTAATTTATACTCTGTTATGCAGGCATTCTCCTTGGATTTCAATCTGAGATCACACATGAAAACTCATTCACAAGAGAATTATCATCGTTGCCCATATCCTGAATGTGGAAAACGATTTGCTCATGGGTACAAGCTAAAGAAACACATTGCATCTCTGCACGAAAAGGTTGATACTTCGATTTTTCCTTTGCTTTGCTCTCTCTCCATAATCTTGCTTGGTGCTTTATATCATGACTTGGCATTATTAGATTGTTTTTGTGCTTCACATTTCTTGGAAATGGAAAGTGTTGCCTTCTTTAAGAATAACTATCTATGGGATTGGTCCTGATCAAATGGGAGGATAATTTGCTTGAGTTTGATTTGATTTCATCAAACTCAACTTTAGTTTCATTCCTTCAACTCCAGAGTTAGAGCTGTGCCCTTTTTAAAGTTTTTTCAGATATATCTGCATTTATTTTCATATTTACACTTCAATAATGTAATCGAATCTTGGTTTCATGTTCCAGAAATGTAGGTATCCATGATCCATCATTTTTGAAAATTTTTAAATAAATTTGTCCATACAGTTTTTAAGTTTTTGTCTCTTTACTGCTTTACTTTGTATCGTATTTTAATTCTGGACATGTTTTTCATTAGAACGGGGCAGATGAAGCCAAGTATATTCAGCCTGCAGAAAAGCCAGTGAAAAATCCAAAATCTTATGCCGGAGCTTCTGGCGCCTCATCAGCTGACCGTCCATACACCTGTCCATATGAAGGTTGTGAAAAGGCGTACATCCATGAATACAAGCTGAATCTTCACCTAAGAAGAGAGCACCCTGGCCATTTCCCAGACGAGATGGATGAAGCTAGTGATCAAGATGCGCATGCTGGAAAACGTGGTGGCAATGGCAAAATTCAGAAAAAAAGCAGGCCAAAGCCAACTCTGAAGATGCCCCCTTCGAAAGTTTCTAGGGGGAAAAGTTCAAGTGCTTCTCTGGCCAACTTGAACGCTGTGAAAAGATCTTGGCCAGTTAAAGAGGAATTATATGAGGAAGATAGCGAAGAGACAGAAGAGGAACGTGAAAATGTTGGAGGAGGGTTGAGATACAGAGAAAATAATGTGGACGACGATGAAGAGACAGAATACGAGGATTAGGCTGTGAATATTTTATGTCATCCATCTTAAATCAAACGGCTCTTTTTTCCCCCTTTTGTACAGATATCTATCTGTTTAGAAGAATAAAACTGTTGAATAATCTTTCTCGACCAAAAAAGGAAAAGAACATTTCCATATTTGAATATTCATTTTGCTTCTAGTTTACCTACTTGGAAAGGAGTAGAATTACTTTACATTGTATATTGGTTATAAGGTAATACAATGATGCAGCTAAACTTGACCTATGTTTATAAACTGTTGATACGCAATCGAATTATATTTTTTTACAGATTCATTTAGTTGGCTAGTTAGTACTACTTATTTATTCGCCATTCATTTTTATTTATGTATAATTTAAATGGTTAATAAACACTTTCTAAATAAGGTTTTTACAACGTGATATCTTCCCGAAATACATATATATTCTTTCTCAATAGAGACCGCGGGCAAGATTAAGTGCTTGCTCGGATTGGTTAATTTAAAATTTAAGTTGATCTGGCTTTAATTTTAATCTCACATTTTTGTAGTATTCACAACTTTATAACAATTACCTATTTATTATCCACATTCCATAATACCCATGAAATCTCCAATACTCACTTTTATCTAGCATATCCAATAAATTCTCTAAATTTAAAGTTCTCTTTATATTAAAGAGCTAATAATTAAAAATAAACTTTAAGAGACTTTCTATTTTAACTTTTTAACATGGAGAATGGGTTTGTGTTTTTTAATTGAGAGTCAAACTCACTCTCTATTCTTAAATGTACAATAATTGTATTTAATAAATTACAGATTTTATTACTTTATGTTTTAAATTAGGATTTTGCTACTTGTACATAAAAATGGTATATAAGCGGTTAGTGAAAATGATGTGGAAAGAAAAGATTGGATGAAAAAATTGACTGCATTTTAAATTGACAATTGATAAAGTGTTATGTGGATATTATGTAATCCTTTATATAAATCTTGATTTACTTATAGCAATATCCTTTAAAATTATTCAAACTAAAATTAAATTGATTAGCAAATGACATATAAAAAATTACGTTAACTTCAAATATGAGGAAAAATTCATAAATAGTTCTTGAAAAACGTAAAATAAAGAGTCAAAATAGAGAACATTATTGGAGTATATAAAAATTTAGAAATGCTCTCTATAATACATAAAATGCTCTTTATAAATAAATATTCTTTTGAAGATGCTTGACTCTTCATTTTGCTTTTGTTAGAAAATGTTTATTGATTTCTCTTTAAATTTTATTTAACATAATTTTTATATGTCAATGGCCAATCAATTTAAATGTGGTTTGAATAGTTGAAGAAATAGAATATTAAAATTCTTAACTTATTAAATGCAATAATTGTTCTTTAAGAATAGAGAGTGAGTTTGACTCTCTAAATTTGGAGAGCCAAACATACTTTCCATTTTAAAAGAGGAATGCTATTTATTGTAAAGACCATCAATAGTCGTCCTACATATTATATACATAACATGTTATTATTTGATATATTAATGTGATAATTTTTTATTGCTTCATGCGTCAAATAACAAACTGTCATGTATATGTCACCTAAGACAATTATCGATAATCTTTACCATAAATAGCATTATTTATTTTGAAAAGTCAATATAAAGTCTCTTAAAAATGCTCTTATAAGATAAGCCTATCCAAACATGCTATAAGATTAACTGAGACTAAAGTGCGATATTTTAAATGTATATTAAGAAATTTTTGAAGAGCGTGATTTGTCCGCTTTGTCTATGGCATGGACTTTTGAAGTACAACCATGAGGATTGTCAATCACATTTCGTGCACTAGACCCTCTCAATTCGTAGATATTTTTTTTTTTCTCCTTCCAAAGAATAATTTTTGCAACTATGAATGGTCTTCTTTCTATAACCTTTCCAAGAAGCTGGGAATTTCAAAACAATTACTCTAGCTTGAAAAGTCTCGGGAGTTCAATCTTCACCACCTTTATTTTGCGATTCTCTCGACGTGCTCACTCATCAATTGCAATTCATACTTTTGGAGAATACTGAAAAAGATTCTGAGGGTTAGAGGATCGAAGATTGTCGATCAAGGTCCAAGATCGAAATTGGAGCAATCGTCAACCAGTTTAGAATTCGGATTAAAATTAATCACGATTCAATGATAATTCTGCAATTCTTTATGTGATTAATTCAGCATGTTATGATGCGAATCCAATATTTAGTAAAGAACTCGAATGATGAATATGTTACAACTTGGAACTAACAGTTAAGAGAGAAATGAAATTATAGGCGTAGACACATTTTCTGTGACTTCATTCCATCTGGCGAATTCTAGAACCAGGAGAAATAGTAATACACAAAAGGCTGTCATAATTCCAACACAGAGGCCGAATATCCCATTAATATCATACAAGGGAAATGCTCCGTGTACAGAGCACTTCCTTACAGAAGTCTTACCGACCCCAGTGAGGGGTTGGTCTCATATTATAATAATAATAATAATAATAACAATAAATTACATCGGGACCCGCACATGTGTGTTATCTGGCAGGGGTCTATAAAATAGACCCCTGTACGTGTAGCATGCTCTTATCATACAATTTGTAAGGGATGTTCATGCCGAACCATCCAGCCATCATAGCCTCTACGGCTATGGCAAATTAATTGCCAATGTGGATTGCAGTTGAATAAGTTCGTTTCACTGATTGTCAAGTTGGATGTCAACATAATCCTCTGTCATCAATGTCCTTCCCGTACCTGGAGATTTCACACATGAAAAATCAATGTCTATAAAGAAGACGACAGTTATGCATCGGAAGTAGTTTGCTCTAATGAGTACTCGAGCTGATGGTCATTATAAAGAGAATTTGGGGAAAATGATGTTTCGAATAGTGATTTTTGGAGAATGTATGGTTAAAAAATATGGAAAAATTTTGCGTTTACGTGCAAAATATTATGAATGTGTGGTTGAAAATAAATACAAAAAATAAAGAGTTTTAATTTAGACCGTGTTTGATGACCATTTATTGACAAAAATAAAGTTTTAAATAGTAATTTTTTAGAGTGCGTGTGGTTAAAAACTGAGTAATGCTATTCATAGTCTCTTACTACGACAGTCATCCTACGTGGCATGCTACATGACGGTTCGTGATTTGATATATTAATATGGTAGGTTTTTCTTACCTCACATATCAAATCATTAACCGTCACATGTATGTCACGTAGTATGCCATATAGGGTGACTACGACATTGAGTGATTGCAAATATCATTATTCTTAAAAAGTAGGAAAAAGTTTTGAGTCTACATGTACAATATTTTATCGTGTGAATGTGTAATTGAAAATAAGTATGTAGAAAAAGTAGTTTTCAAATAAAGGTTGTCAAACAGGGGGCATAAAAAAGTGGAAGTGCAAGAGAATAGAAAAAGTAAAGTTATTCATGCCACTGGACTTTTGAACATTCATTAAGCAGACATATATTCTCAGAAAAAACAAAAAACAGGTAAGGAAATGGTTAGCTTTTGAATTTCTCGTTTGCAATCAATTTCAGATTGTCAAATTTAGGAGAGCCAGAAGTTTCGGTCAGCATTGCAGGCTATTCTACAGGATCAGTGCCCAAATGAGATGCTGTTTCATCAAGGTGAATCCTACATAGAAATTTCCACAATTCATAAATTTATTAGCTTCCAAAATCTAGTTGAGCACGTCAAGGATAGTCTTAAATGGTAAATATGAGATACACAGGACAAAGTTGGATAATTAAGCAGCTGAAAATAGGTGAGAGACCCAAAAAAAATAAAATGGCAGCAGACCTTCGAACAAAAATACGCATAAAGTTCTATAAATGATGTTACAAAAAATCATAGGACTGCAATTGTCTTGGAGACACAGGACAAAAGTTGGATAGTTAAAGCAGCTGAAAACGGGTAAGAGAGCAAAAAAATGGTTGAAGATATTGTAACCAAAATGCTATCAAGTTCTATTAATGAAATTATAATAATTAAAGGACTGCAAATTGTCTTGTAAAATACCTTTACTGTTCAACATATTTTACTACGAGAATAAAATCAAAAAGAGGGAAAAAAAAAGAATGTCGTGTGATATTCAAGGATATACTTACAGACAGTATCTTGTTACGAGTGCCATCCAGTTGCATGAAGTAAGCTTCAAGTAATATTTCTATGTCCTCCATGTTTTGTCATTTAGATAGTTGCTTACCAAAGCACCACTTCTTGTAAAGCTGTCTGAGAAGAGGTACAGTGGAAAAAATGCCATTTGCTGCCATTTCTCCCATCAAAGCCTCAGATTGCTGATTCTGTATCCACTTCCTTGTTAAGTATAATTGAGCCATATCTTCATTGTCATATAAAAGATGTTCGATCTCACATCTCTCATACCGCCAGACGAATGTTTGCCCCTTCATTAGCATATAGGACGAAAGTAATCTACTCATGATTCGCTAAGAATTGATCTCACTCTTTAGAACTTAGCAAAACGTGCTAAAATGCTGATAAGACTATCCAAAAAGAAAAAAATGCCTTACTGGAAAATCTAGCCAAAAGAATTTAAAGACTCCTAATGCATAATAAAGGGTGCAATATAGATTTTGATACCAGATATCGATCCAAGGAAGAGATATAAGATGGAAGCGGTTCCAGAATGCAGGGCCAGCTGTAGTTAGTCTAATTGCACTGGTACAAATCACAATAGATCGACAATATTTGATGCTGGTAATCTTCAATTTGCATGCATAAATACTCAAGTCTAAAAGTTTAAACAAGGCTCAGACAAGGCAATTCGAAGTCTTGGACCATTTCAGCAGCTCTTATTGCTTTCGAGATGATTTGTCGATGTGGAGTCACTGCCAATACAAGCAACCACTACAGCCTTAACAACCATGTCAAAAACTGACCTCAAAAGAAGCATCAATTGGATAACCCCTTAATTTCATATTCTAGCCTTTGAGGTGAAGTTGGAATAAGCACTAACTTCACTCTGGACACGCATATTCCCACTTCCAAATGAAGGGATGAACTGAACATGGTGCCAATATGCACTACAAAGAATAAGCTGCAACTATGGCATGAGCTCGTAAAGGGGCAAAGATGCACCAACAATTGATGGCAAATGCGAACAGTTTATGAAATGAAACCAGTCCAATAGCTCCTAAAGCTTAGAGCTTATAAAGTTAGAGCATCCATCTCAAATCTAATTACTATTAAATAGACAGACCATCTAGGACTGTATTTTCAGGAAATGATATTTAATCCATGTTTGACAAAGTTTAATATCTTATAAATTGGTGCAAGACATGAAAGTTTCTTATATTTTGCTAGTCGATAATTAAGGAAGATATACAGTTGTCCATGCTGATGACCCACACATTATTTAAGTCAAAATAAGCAAAGCAAACCTAAGAACGACTTTCAAGAAGCTAAAACGATGAAAAAGTTTCCTTGACCAGAAAAATGAAGATTTCACAAGGGTAATGTAGAAATGAAAATATTGAAAATAGGCAGATACAGAATATAAACAAATCCGTTCAGCCCATCTCTTTCAGATGGTTTACCTTCTGTCAAAGAAGCTAAAGCCATAAAAAAGTTTCCAAACCAGAAAAATGAAGATTTCACAAGGGTAAAATGTAGAAATGAAAATATTGAAAACAGGCAGATGCAAAATAAAAACAAATCCGTTCATTCCATCTCTTTCAGACGGTTTACATTCTGACAAGATGAGAGAATAAAAAGTAGGGAAGGGCATCCAAATTCCACGAAAGTGTCATTCTAAGAATTTAGAAACTGTCACGATCCATCAAATAATAAAAGGACATAGACGACATATTTACCTTTTACAGGACGACATATTTACCTTTTGCAGCTGCACAAGTAATCGAGTGAGATTGCTTTTCAAACTTCTCTCATGCTCAAGAGTCTTCATGCTAACATTTCTGGCCAGTTCATCTAAAACAGGGTAAGCATCTCTCTCAAGTTCGGCAACACTGGAATCCAAATACGTACAGACCACCTCTAATGTGATTTCCCAAACCTGGAACTCAAACGGAGGCTCAGCTTGCAAACCTTCAGCAGCTTCTGGAACAGGAAGCCATTTTCCAGCTGTAGGAGATTGCATACCGTTGTCTTGAGCGATCATTTGGTCTGATCCACAAAAGGAAGCGCCTCAAAAGTTGTGTCTAACTTCACAATAAAGGTTTGAGAGTGTTGGGAGTCAATTGGATAAAGAAAGAAGTCAAAAGGATGAAATATAGTCAAAGTACGATCACAAATCAATTTCTAATCGAAAAAGTTATGTTCCGAATTTTGTCTCATGTTGAGATCCATGTTTGACAAAGCAAACTTCGGAATTGGAAAATGATATCTAAATCAAAATTGTAGCCCTTTGAATTAACTTTCCAATGCATCTTGGATTGCCTCAATAAGATATTGGGAGAAAAAGTTGTAATAAAAATACTGAAAGATGCATAGTACTTTTTTCCACTTAAAGTGAGCGCCAGGAGCGCCCCATCTTGGGCGTTGCAGCCCGTCTTGCTGAAAATCAACATTGCGGCGCGCAGCACCTATCTTGGGCACCGCAGGGCGAGAAAAAAGAATTTTGAGTTTTTTAGATTCTTTTCTTAACCCAATCCAAACCTAAATCTTCCAAGACTTCAAAATATTATAAATATACACCTACATACCACAATTGAAGGGAGAATTCAACTTGGAAAGAAGGGGGCAAGATTCAAGAAATCAAGGAGGCAAAGGCAACTTGGTGAAAAAGATTGATTCAACCATCCAAAAAATAGTTTTATCTTTCTTCTCTTCTTGTTATTCTTTATGAATTGTGTAGATTTCATGGCTTCTATCATGAACTAACATATTCTTCAAGGGTTTGATTTGAATTTATTTTAGTTATTTCTATGAAATTTTTCATTCTGTTTATTTGTGTTATGATTTTAATACGGGAGCAAGGAATCCCTTTCTAGTGGGTAACTTTACCCAGAAGGTTAGGCCTTTCAGTTAATTGACCATTAATTGAATAAGCAAATGCTAGTCAATTCCCGCACTCGAGAGAGAGAGGAATTTAGGAGCGATCATAAGATTAACGCTACATAGATTTTATGGTTTCGAGAGAAGGTGTAGGATCTATGAAACTTACTCCATAAAAGAACCATGAATTTGATAAATTCTTGATTTTAATTTGGTATAGAGATTTTGGAATTGAAATCTAAGATTAATTTCTCGCCGGCACTTGAGAGAAATGATAGCAACATAATTGATTTCTTGCTTATAAACATGAGAAAGTTTAATTAGAGATAACTAGATAATTTAGAATCATAGTTAATAGTTAGGTGAAATCAATCCTAGGCTTTCTTATCTCGAGTGATATTTCAAACTTGTTTTTATATCATTGAAATCCTCACCACATTCATCATTAGATTAGTTTAAAAATATTGATTTCATAACTCATTCGTCTAAATAAAATAGAGACTATATAATTATAATATCTAATAGAATTTGAATTACGATTCCTGTGAGTTCGACACTCTTAACTTCATTCATATATTAAAAAACTTAACACCGTACACTTGCGATATAAATCACGTTATAGAAAACGCATGACAATTTTTTCAGATACAACTGAAGTAAGAACCTTCTTCCACTATTGGCATCCTCTACCACCCAGTATCCTAATATTTCCTTGGTGAGATTATGTACAATACTTTCAAGGCAATTGCAGATCTACTTAGTTTGTCCTGGTTCTTTATATGCTGGAAAATGCATATTACCAGAAAATATTGCATTTCTTGTTCCAAGTATCCAAATCAGGGAGATCACGAGCCACGGAGGAAACTCCAGGGAACTGCCGATATCAGAGAATGATCTTCGTAAAAATCATTCAGGAATACAAGTCATATAGCACTTGTACTATCACAATTGATCAGTCGAAAATTGGAAAGATACTTTAATCCCAATGTACAAAGATGGTGGCCTAGGATCCAATTTTCAAAATAAAACGTAAACTGACGACGACCGCACAAATGGAGGAATCAAACGTAAATCCTCATTAGAAGCAGGGATCATACTATTTTTGAATCGGAAGTCCATCACTTGGACAAGGTGAATATTACTTTTGATGTTTAGTCGTATACCAAATCCTTGAACAAGCATCAGTTTCCTCATTACCTTAACCATTTAAACTATATATCACATTGATGAATGTAACATTCTGCCTGGAGACTGTAGTGTAGTATATAAACAACATTAACGATGAGCAGTGTAACCATAGAACATATGAGCAATAGTTTGAAAGCAGAAAAGGGCTAATATCAACTTTATATGGAAAAAATGGAAAATAAAATCATATACAATCAAACAAAACTAACTACCATTAAGTCAAATTGAAAAGAAGTGCTTTTGAAGATTAGAGGAACTATTCAAAATAGTAATTTCGCAATAGCAAAGAGCTCACAACTCGTCCAACTAATGAATTGAGGAGTGAATTTCTTGTACAAGTCACTCATCATCTCGTACGAATTGACTTGCATGCTAGCTCACTCTCGACTCGTTCCATTTAATGGATAAATGTATTACTTGCAAACAAATGAAACATACAAACACGATATCTCATAAATGAAAGGGTAATTAGCACAAAATTTCCTTATCTTTCAATATTATTGTGCAAATCCTTTCATTTTTTAACACTTTTATTCTTACTTTCACATTTTATTGCGAAATCATCATTTTTATCAAATTACTTATGTAAAATAACAAATATACTCCTTCCTTAAATAAAACAATAAAAAAGAAAAGCATGTCAATTCTCCTAACTCGCCCACTCCAAACTCTCCAAATTTGTCATGTTGGGCGAGTAATTCTAACTTCAAAGCACACTTCTAAACTTCAAAAATTTCCTCCTAACCCTTCCACATCCCACCAAATCCATTAATTACTGTAACACTACAAAATGACTGCTAGCTACCACAGTTCTCCTAAATTATCACAACTGCTAGCTACCACAGTTCTTCTTAATTATCACAACTTTTTGTCTTAATGCTACAATTATACCATTACTATAGTTATCTCGAGGAAATCCTCATTTCATAAACAAAAGAATTTGAAGGGATGACTGCCCTACTTTTTCCCCTTTCTTTTGTTATTCCTAGGGTCCATTCCTCTTTTTATTTTACTCTGGTCTTTCTTCTGTTTCCCAATCTCTCATTGTCTTTCATTAGCAAAGGAACGTAGGCTGTAAGACTGAGATGTTAAAGAAGAAGAGGGAGATAAAAATGATAGTTTAGGAATTTTGATAAAAATAGTCATTTAAAAGAGTAACAAAAATAATGGGGCCACTTTTCATTCTCTCTCTGCAAACACGTCCTTAAGAAATTTCCTCTTAATGATATTTGATGCAGTGGACTATGGAACACATTAATAATTTTATGTATTGCAGCACCATGTTCAATTTGTAACATCCAGCAAGTCTCTGGCACCAGTCATTAGTAGCCTGGATGGATGTTATGGTTTTGTCAGGCCAACCATCATAACCAATCAGAACCGAAAGCATAGTCGAAAATTAAACATATGAAATCAGACATATTATATAAGAATGAGATGATTGCTAGAACATAATGAGTACTGGGTGAAGCTTTTCCGCCTATCTACATAAAATAACACTGTCATTGAGGAACTGAGAAGACCAAGCATCCTTGGGCCCAACGCACTCTGATTTCTCTTCCCACATGGAGTCCCTTCTCTCTAATGATTTTACCCCACTTGCCAATAAGATTATAATAACTCCCGCGCCATTTCAACTTCATTACATACAGATCGCCACTCTCATCATCTCGAGCATTGATGGTAACTTGATGATCACTCCTCAATTGTTCCCGAGCTTGTTGTGTCCAGTAGATGAGTATATGATCCTTGACCGCTTTGCCTGGCAAAGTAAGGAATGGATGATTGGTATCAATGTCGGACAACGTGAGTGATTTCTTAATAGGCCAATTATCATATCCAGATACTGCTGCGACATAATGATCTTCTGGAACTGAGAAGTATAAACAATTATTTGCCCAACACATTCTGATTTCTTTGCCAACACCAAGTCCTTTCTGTCGAATTATATTTGCCCATCTCCCAATAAGGTTATAATAATTTCCTCGCCACTTCAATTTCATCAAATGAATATCACCCGTATCATAATCCTGTGCATTTATAGGAACCTGCTCTTCCTTTCTCAATCTTTCTCTTTCTTGTGGCATCCAGTGTGCAAGAATATGATCTTCAACAGCTTTACGAGGCAGCAGGAGAAAAGGATGGTTAGTATCAACATCAGACGAAGTCAGGACCTTGGTAAGAGGCCAGTGGTCAGGAACCAGAGGTGCTGTAACCGTTCGAACTGGTGGTACTAGAAGAACCTGCTGTTGTGGAACTGAGAAGTGTAAACACCCATTATGCCACCGTAATTTGATTTCTTGCCCAACATCAAGTCCCTTTCCACGTACAACTTTTCCCCATTTGCCAATAAGACTATAATAGCTACCACGACACTTCAATTTCATCACATAAAAATCACCAGTATCGACATCTTGGGCATTAAAACCCACTTGACCTTCTTCTCTTAAAAGTTCTTGCTGTTCAGATGTCATATACACAACAATATGGGTTTCAACCTGTTGCCTGGATAATGTCAGGAAGGGATGGGTGATATCAACGTCAGAGAGTGTGAGTGCTTTCTTAATTGGCCAATGATCCTGCACATGAGGAGCAGCACCGTATGCAGTCCTCTTCATTCCTAGAACTCAAAATGAAAAATGGAACGGTAAACTTTTGGATGTTCAACTGTTAATATTACTAGAACTGAATGAATTGAGAAAAATTTACAGTAGTAATAAACAGCTCCACCAACATATTAAGAATACTAGCAAATTAGAAACATTTTATAAAACAGAGCAATCAACTATGCCACAGGCAAAGTCAATGTGTGGCCAGGCCACCACTTCCCACATGCACCACAAATCAACTGTGCTTCATCAATTCCTCAGCAAACAAACCCTAATCATTTTCTTTTCTTTTGCACTTAATTTTGTTAAGATCTAATTTCTTTTGATTCAAAGTTCCACGATTAGCGATAAGGACGACGAGTATACCCATATCATTAATAACACAAAAACTTTCAATTCCTCCATTGCTTTCAACAATCTATTAAAAAGTTGGAATTTTAGATGCAATTAGTAAACCATCAAGCACCAGAACATTGAAATCTAACACACGCTGAAATTTGAGCAGAAATAGTATAAAAATAGCAGAAAACATCCCCCAATTAATTTCAGTTAACAGAGGATAAGAAAACTAAGACTATCTTTTCCACCTCCTTATCATTTCTCAGGTGAGCGACATTTTCCCACCAAATTAAACAAATAAATTTTCAAAACAAAGATATGATCGAATTGCAAAAAAACATATCCTAAAACATAAAAGAAAATCCCATAAATTCAACCAACAAATAAACACACAGAGAGGGGAAACGACAGCATAAAATAAAATATATGTTGTTCATGAAGTCTTCTTTTCTACATTAATCAGATGCGATTCAAATAGGTTATTACTACAAACGAATAAATCAAAATAAAAGGGGAAAAATCGTACTTGGGCATGAAGGAACTTTCAACTGGGCAAACTCTGGAACCTGGACAACTGAGATTTGAAGAAATAAGAGCAGAAAAGTGCGTAATTTACCCAATAGTGAGAACAACAAAGATTGTATTTTTCTGATAACTTTATGATTTGATTAGGAATGATATGATGAAGTAAAAGGGTTGATCACAAGGGTTTGGACCGGGAAAAAACGAGGAAGAAGAGAAGCAACGCAAATCTGTGCAAAAATGGTGGTTTTGAAGGCGTAGGGGCGACGTTTTGCGTCAGTGCCAGTGCCGGTACGAATGTGAATGAGAGAGAGTGAGATGGGGTTCGTTCGTTTGTGATTGGGTGTGGGCATCTATTATTTTCAAAATATATATAATTATACATTTTTAATAAAATAATATTATACATAAATTTAAAATTTTTTCTCATTTTTAACTCTATAGTCTCCTTTAAAAATAGTATTCCAAAATATATTTTGGACAAAAAATAAGCTCAAACAAGCTTGCTTAAATTAACTACATAGTCTCCTTTAAAAATATCTGGTTAGCGTGATTTACGGGCTATTGTGTCAGTCTTGAAATTTACCCAATGCGCACCTCAAGGATAGCGGCTGCGGGTTCCCCGTCATTAAAAAATAAATAAAATTTAATTTTTCGTTCAAAAAGCCCCTTTAAGAAACTGTGAAGGTTTTTAAGCGTCAAAAGGTTTCGAAGGATCTAATTTTGAGTTATTTCTAATAGTAATTTTTAAAATAGTTCAATTCCAGTGTGTTTGATTAACTTCATTTTTTATGAAAAATGTCATTTTTCTACTCAAATTCTTACTTTGGGTGTTTGATTGAAATCTTTTTTTCATAGAAAATATTTTCTAACTTTTGATCATGTGATCATATTTTTTTTCAAAAATAAGGAGTTGCTTTTATTTTTGAAGTAATTTACTTTTTTTTTTCCCTCTCATTTACGGTTTATCCAACAATAAAAATTGACAAATATAATTTTTTTTTTTTGAAAACTAAATCAATCAAATACATTTTAATTAATAATTTTCATACAATTGATGCACGATTCACGTTTAGGAGTTTATTATCCTATAGTTCTGAATTATTATTATTATTATTTTAAAGAATAAGCTTACACATACGTCCTTTAGCGAAATATTTTAATTTACAAGTTCTTGTACAATATTTTATACCATAACTAATATTTATTTATAACTAATATTTTATATATAGTTAAAATTTGAATTTTACATATAATTAAATTTTAAGTTGTGAGTAATTTTTCAGATATAAGTAAATTTACAATTATAAGCTAATTTTGCACATATAAATAATTTTTTATACATAACAATATTTCTTACTTTATAAGCAAATTTTACACAAAAATATTTTACTTGTAAGTAATTTTTTACTTTAAGTAAGATTTTAATTATAAAAAAATTACTTACTTAATTATAAAGTAATTTTTTCTTATAAATACATTTTAATTATTCTATTTTTATTTACAAGTTATTTTTTAACAAAATTTTTAGATTGAAAATAATTGTTTTATAGATCATAAAATTGAAAGAAAAACTGAAAATGACAAAAAAGTACCAATTTAGGGTTGAGAAATACTCCCCAAATTAAATCACCAAAATCATTGCTTCCAAGAACTACCATCGTTTTTTCTAATTTCTCATAAATGATGCGATTCAAAAAGGGGTAAAAAATGGTGGAAAAAACTCCCAAGTTGGCCCTTAGACTTCAATAGATTCAAGTTCATAAATATTAAGTCATATTTTTTGTACATTTGAGAAAAGCTAGAGAATTTAAGCTCATGTTGATATTTTTAGATGTGATTATGTAATAAGTATTTTTTTTTTTAAAGATGTGTGGTTGAAAATAAATTCGGCACAAAAAAATTTCAAAAAAAAATCTAAAATAAGGGCTAAAAATAAAATAAATAGTAATAAAAATATTTCATTTTCAATTTTCAATCTGAAATTCAAAGTAAGAGAGCAAAGGATTGAAGAATCAAATTCTATTGTACTGAAATTTAAAACTGAAATTTATTGTGAATGGTTAAAAATGAGTCGAGCTATTTTTCATATTCAGCTTGCCCTAAAGCAGGGTGGACCAGCTTGTTAGTGAGTTTGATTGAGACATCGAGTCGAACAATTCAACCCACTTAACATCTCTAAATAGTGGTCATACGATGGCCTTCAGCAGCCTCGTCGAATTCCTTTCTGACATTTCAATTAGTTTTGAATTTATTCATTATTGCAAAAGTTGAGTTTATTCATTACTAATTGCAAAAGTAATGTATTCAAATAATAACAATATATGAATTAATTTTGACTTCTGTTTACGAAATTATTCTTTCGATTTAAACCACCGCAAGTGTACAATTCGTTAAAAAGTAATAAAGTGGATAATTTGAGTTCGAATATCGTCCCACAAAGATAGATTTAGTTCAATGTTATTTATCCTGGCCTTAACCGAAACTAAATTTTAACAAGTGATTTTATAGCCTAATTACTTCCTAACCTAAGCTAATGCTATTAAATATTGAGAATGCAATTTAATATATTCAGTGATTGTATAGCGCACAAAGATCACGAATTCTCAAGTAATGTTTAATTTAACCTTAATTTCACAAATTGACAACACGACGAAATTTTGAAAAATCAATGCTCCTAAATCTATCTAATATTCTCTCTCGAGTTATGTTAAACCTACTTTCATATACCACCAGTCTATATTTCTATGACGGGTACAAATATACAAGAATGCATGTAGTTTTGTGAGCACTTAAAGATTCACGCAGAACATAGCGGTATATCTCTATCCTCTATTAGACTTTACGATGATTTATACCTTGTCGAATGTATTCCCCTTCTCTCGAATGCAAGATATTAGTCACCCAAACTCACACAATTACGAACCCTTAATTGCGGAAAAAATTAAATTCATATAAACCATTCAAAATAATCAAACGTGTTTTAATGTTAAAAATATGAAACAAAGAATTAAGAATCACATTACAAGGTTCATCGATCTCCTAGCACATAAAAATATAGCCTAATATGATGGGAATAAGAAAACAAACTAAATCATAAAGAAAAGACATTATCGCTTTAAATTTTGAATTGAATCCTTGCATCTTGATGTCAATCTTCACGTTCTTGTCTTGTTCTCCTCTCTAAAAATCCTTATGAATGTGTTATAATGCGTGGTGTATGTTTTTGGATGTCCCTATGGCTTTAAAAGATTCCCCAAGATTGGTTTCCATAAGAATTTAAATCAAAAAAGTAAAATGAGATTTTTCTCGCCGCGATTTACCTGGGCTGTCACTCAGGCCAACTTTTTCTTTTTGATAATTAATTTTGGACATTGGGCAGTCGCCCACTCAAAATAACTGGGCTGTCGCTCTGTTATAAAAAAACTCCCGAATGTTGTATTTTAACCCCCGAAGTCGATTCTTGATTTTTTCGAATCCTTTCTCTTGTATTTTCTACCTTTTCACTTTCAATTGCATCCAATTGAACCCGCAACACCTTTAATCTTCATTTTGTCATCCGAATCAATTATTGAAATGTTGCAATTTAGTTCTCATACTTTGAATTTCCCCCTTTTTGGTCATTTTTCGTTTCTTTTATCTTAATTCCACCACATCCATCAATATAGTCCTATAAAACATAATTACATAGAATTAAATCATAATTCAAATGTTTTGATCAATAATTAGTCATGTTTTTGAAATCAAATAAGTATGTAAAAATGCACTAATCAATTTCATTTGTGTGAGGAGAATTATAAACGCACTTAAAAACTATCTTAAAATTTTTACTTAATATAATCTGTATTTTTTCTCTCTCTAGAATGGCGATTCCAAAAAAAAAAAAAGAAACCCCTCTCTCTAGAATGACCCCCGTTTCGTTCCACACCCAGATTCGATCAGTTCAACTCATTCCTTGAAAATTATTAAATAGCAATTGTGTATCTATTATTCTTGAAAACTGGTAGAAATTGGTGAAAAAAATAAATTCAAAGGTTGAATTCAGCGGCAATGGAGGACGAGACGACCGACGAGCCACCAATTGCATACTTTTCTGATAGAGACAAGAAGCGAGAGGGTAGGACAAAAAAGGGGGTCCGTCTGGGATCTGATGGCAATGAGGATTTGAATATAGGCAGAAGATGAAGGGCAAATTGAGGATGACGGGACAATCTCAGACGACTATGTTCTGGAGGATGTTCTTGATGGTCCTTCCATACAATTGACTAAGGAGGAGAAAATTTGTATATGAAGACCTTGGACTAATACGTTGATTGTTAAGTTACTGGGTTGTCCAATTAGCTATACCTATCTTTGCAATTGGATCAAACAATTGCGGTAGCTTAAAGAAAGCTTTAAGGCAGTGAATATGGATAATGGATTCTATTGTATCAGATTTGGTTTGAAATTGGTTTACAATTATTTTTTGGAGAATGATACTTGGATTATAGTTGGTCATTATATGACTGTGAGGAGATGGAGCCCTGAATTTCAATCGGAGGAAGCGACAATTGATATTGTAGCTGCTTGGGTTCGTTTTCTTGGCTTGCCACTGGAATTCTACGATAGTTCGATCTTGAGACGAATGGGAAACTCAATTGGCAAGTCAGTCAGGATTGATAGAACTACATCGAACATATTGTGAGGCAAGTTCATAGGAATGTGTGTTGAATTGAATTTGACAAAGCCACTTGTTTCGAAAATATTCGTAGGGGGGCGTTGGCAAAGAGTAGAATATGAAAGTTTAAAAAGGCTATGTTTTTACTGTGGAATGTTTGGTCATAATGATTTGGACTGTGAAGTCATGAGAAAGGAAGATGAGGGCCAAATTGAAGAACGGGCACATAGAATGGTTGAGAAGGAAAATTTGTTTAGAAGGAGCTTGAGAATGAATGGTTTGGACACTGGATGATTGACAAAAAGAAATATAAAAGCCCGTGAATGCCAAAACTGATGGTAACGATAAGAAGCCAGTGAAAGAAGTGTCGAGGGACAACACTAGTGTTAATAGGTCAGTGCGATCAATGAGCTTCATTTGGGATGTCTAGGGTAAATATTACAAGCGATAGAGAGGTTCTGAAAAAGAACCTTCAGGCATTAGCTCTGGTTTCTAATGAAGATACCTCAGAAAAGAGTGATAAAGGGAAATGAATCCAGGACGATGCAGTTCAAGTTGTTTCTTCTAAGTCTGTATTTAAGGAGAAAAAGAAGGTAGAAAAATGAGGGTATTTTGAGGGATGTTTCCAATAATTAATAATCCTCTAGCTATTCTAGAACACATGAGGGAGAGGATGCAATGGATAATTTTTTAGCACGCCCTCATACCAATGATCCTCCGACTCTTAAAAGAGATATGGCTTCAGTTGGAATAGGAGTTAATAGGGCGGCTAAAGAAAGAGCAGACCTTATGAATAATGCTATTATCCTAGTGAGGGATGTGAGTGGTAGTATGGAGGTTAAGGATCTTGGATCTGATGTCATGAAGTCATGATTTGGAGTCTTATTACATTACTCATTATTTTATGCTTAATATAATAAGTTGGAATGTTCAAGGGGCTGCCTGGAAGAGATACATTCGTAATTTCAAGAATTTGATTTCACCCATAGATTACACATCTTAATAGTTTTAGAACCAAGGATTGCAGGGTATTGTGCTACAAGGACATGTAAGTAGATAGGGTTCTCGGATCTTTTTAGAGTGGAAGCAATGGGTTTCTCTAGTAGAATTTGGCTATTCTGGAATTCAAGAGAAGTTGAAGTTGAAATATCAGCTTACTTTTCTCAACTTATACATGCATTTGTGAAGCAACCAGGCAAGCCTGAATGGTTGATAACTGCAGTTTATGGGAGTCCAGATGCCGAAGAAAGGAAGTTAATATGGGATTCTATGAAACTTGCAAGCACTTTCCATCAACTACTTTGGTTAGTTATTAGTGATTTTAACCAAGTTATTTTAGCAAAAGAAAAATGCAGCAGACGAGGTGTTAATGTTAACCAATGCCAAAAGATGGTAGAGTGTATGAATTTCTGTAATTTGCTAGACTTCGAAGCTTCAAGACCAAAATTTACTTGGTGCAACAAAAGGGAGGGTCTGCAGTATACAAGAGTTAGAATTGATCGGGCTATAGCAAATTCTAAATGGTGTGATCTTTTTCAATCTTGTTTAGTTACTAACTTGCCTAGAACACATTCAGATCATCATCCTATGTGTAAAGGGTAGCAACCAGGTGAAAAATATGAACCAAGATTTGCCTTTTTCGATTTGAGTGTGCATGGATGTTACATGACGATTTTTTGGAAGAGTTGAAACGGAATTGGCATTATGGGAATGATGATATGTCCCCAACATTGAATTCTCCTGCAAACTCTTTGAAATTTTGGAGTAAAAAGAAGTTTGGGGATATTTATAGAAAAAAGAGAAGACTTCTTGCAAGGTTGAATGAAATTGAGAAACGATTAGATAATGGGCCTAACGATTTTTACAAATCATTGAAGTTATATTGGTAGAAGAATATAACTTGGTTTGTTTTCAAGATGAGACTTTGTTGAGACAGAAAGCACGAGTAGACTGGCTCAAATCGGGAGATAACAACACCAAATTTTTTCATAATGTTCTTCGAGGTAGGAAATACAAGAAAAACATTTTAATGTTAAAGAAAGATGAGGACACTTGGTGTGAGGATGTAAAGGATTTAAAAAATATAGTTGTAGGTTTTTTTGAAAATATTTATAAAGATGATTCTGTGATCGGTACTTATTCACTTAAGTCTGAAGAAAATTTGGGGTTGAATAATCAAGAACACATAATGTTATCCAAGAAGGTTTCGGCAGCTGAAGTTAAAATGGCATTTTTCACAATGAATCCCAATAAAAGTCCTAGAGCTGATGGTTATCCTATTTCTTTTTTCCAAAAAGCTTGGAATGTGAATGTCGTTGGAAGGGATTTCACTCTTTGTTATTGAAGCTTTGGAAAAGGGTGAATTCGATCCTCTCTTAAATAGAACTTTAATTACCTTGATTCCTATGGTAGAGGGGCCAAAATATATTAGCCAATTTTGTCCTATTAGCTTGTGCTCAATCCCATTAAAGCTAGAGAGCAAAGCCTTAGTTGAGAGAATGAGACCTCTACTTACTAGACTAATTGGGAAAACACAGTCGAGCTTTGTTCCTTGGTGGCACACAATTAATAATATTATTGTAGTCAAAGAAACTTTGCATTCAATGAGAACTTTGAAGTGTAAAGAAGGGGCTATGGCTATTAAAATAGATTTAGAGAAAGCTTATGATAGATTGAAATGGATATTCTTACAGTCAGTTCTTGAGGAGGTTCACCTTCCTAATTCATGGGTTAAACTTATAATGTTTGTTGACATCTGAACTCCGATCTGGTAAAAACAGTTCGTTAACCCCACCTCAGTTAAACGTAAGTTTGGCCCACACTCTCAGGTTAGAGTTACCCGCCGTTATCTTAGAAAAACATCATGATTATCCCTTGTCACATCACCCTATCAATCAGAGACACTTGCCACAGGTGATGTCATCGCCGCCCGAAATGGCCAATTCCAAGTCCTCGAATTTCAGCCCTTGCAGGTCATCATTACTTTGGCAATACATTTTTGAATAGTGTATTGATGAAAAATGTGATTAAAAAATTAAAAAAAAAATTAAATTTGCATTTAATTTTTCATAATCATACATTTTTGAATAGCGAATTGAAGAAAAATGTGTGGTTAAAAAATAAGAAAATATTTTGGATTTACGTATAATATTATTTTATTAAAAAATGATGTTAAATCACTGTTTAAAAATGTGTTTTTTTGAAAGAATGTGGGTCAAATAGAGCCTTCATCAAAACCAAACAGTGAATTATACTATGTACTAAAAGTGAATGATGGAGTAGGTATTAACTTCTGTATGGTAAATCCCCTGCCTGCCTACAGCTCGGCAAGATGCCAATTACTATTTCACAAAACATATTCGATCGAAAAAAAACGACAACAAAACATCTGCTGTAATGTCAAAAACACGATGATTTTAATAATCTGACCAAATCAATATCTTGAAATACGAATAACCAACCAATAGAAATCAGATTCAAGATATAATACGCATAAATGAGGGCTGATAGAACCAACAGCTAAAATCACACAAGAATACCATTCCCTATCGATACATGAATCAATAGGAAAGGAGGAAGAGAAAAATGATGATGAGTCAAATACCGAGATATAACTGAAGGAAGACCTACTTGCATAGAACACGATAATCTTCGCTAAAAACTCACACTACTAATCTAATAGTGACAGCAAAGAGTTAAAAATAAATTTTGGCAAAATAAGAAAACATTCTGAGAATGGAAGTAAAAGTGGCAGAAGAATGCAGATCCCTAGCCATGGATGCAACTGTTCATGTCCGTGCGCAAGTGCAGCAGAAACTTCATTTGCAGTCACAATTTTCCTTCTTAAACATCATCAATTAGAAGTTAAAAAAAAAAAAATCAGTTCACAACTTGATCAAGAAGATGTTTTATGTTCAAGTGCTACATATTTCCTCAGTCAAAAACTTCATCCATATATCAACCTATGGGGGAAAAATTCAAAAATATTTCAGGTAAAGGTAAAACGAAATATGAAATGACTAAAACCAATCACTCTCAAGTGGGAATCAAACACTCGCACAGAATGAGAAGATTATTCAAATGACTAAAACCAATCACTCTCAAACGGAAATCAAACACTTGCACAGAATGAGAAGATTATTTAAGCCTTTTGCATAATGCCACAGTGAATTAACATATTAACAATCTGCAACCATTTCAAGAGCAACTAATAAAGACTAACAAAAGAGAGAGTTATCTATCCCCCAATCGAAGAATTTTTTTTTATGTTCTCGTGCTTACTTGTTGCTCCTCTGATCAACCTGAGAAAACTTGTGATCAATTCCATGGGTTTGATCGTGTCTAATAAAGCCCTTTTGCTCGGGAGGTACACTCTACTGATTTCTTCGTGATAAATCACTTTGTCCTTGAACATTATAATTCCCAGACTGCTCGTAATTTCCCTGGAATGAAGGCATTGGATCTCTCCTGCTGTTATCCCATCCTCCAGGGGTATAATTTGGTGGTGCAGGACCACTTCTTTCCCCTGCTCCAGGTGGACTGTAATTCTGTTGAGGTGGGAAATTTGGTGGCTGGCCATGACTGTGATGCTGTGAAGGCCCAAAGTTTTGCCGTGGCGGTGGGCCATAGTTTGGCTGTGGAGGTGGGCCATAGTTTGGCTGTGGAGGTGGGCAATAGTTCGGCTGCTGTGAAGGTGGCCCAAAGTTTGGCTGCTGTGAAGGTGGGCCATAGTTCGGCTGCTGCGGCGGCGGGCCATAGTTCTGCTGCGGCGGCGGTGGGCCATAGTTCTGCTGCTGTGGTGGTGGGCCATAGTTCCAACCATGATTTCTCGGTGGTGAGTCATTATAAGATGCATTTCCTTGCTGATATGATGTTTGGCCTCTCGGACGACTTTGCCTGTTTCCTCCCTGTCTCCCTCTATAAAGTGGCGGTGGTCTAGGAAAAATTTCTCCATTGACATACTTGTCTCCTGAACAACACAAGGGCTAGTTTACTATCACATAAACATGCAGACAGTCGACTCATATCTGAGTTAGATAGCACCCTTACCTCCATATTCCTTATTTACAGGATCGATGTAGGAATCTGGTAATATAAATACAACTCCAGGTAGACCTAATAACAGAAAATTTTAAAAATTAATACTGGTGACAAATGCAATCGTTGTCATGAAGCAATGTAGAACACCTACCCTTAAACTTCTCTGATGTTTCCTCTGAACACTCAACCTGAAAGCCTTGATATGTAGTTGTACTTATTGCATATATTTTCTTCTTCGCCTCTTCCACACTGAAACCAATGATGGTTCAACGTAAAATGATCAAGTAATCAGGATTTCGTATGAAGCAACTGAAATTAACCACAAAGAGGTAACACTTAATACATGCTACAAATCATTACCTTTTAGTAATCATTTAACAAATGATAGAAAGGTTGCTAAATCTTAGTAAACATCCAAGAGAGAAGTTTAGAAAATTACACAAATGTCTAATTACACTGTAAGTCCAAAAGAAGTCAAGGGGCAAACAACTATCAGAGGTGGGCCCCAAAATTGCAAGCATGCTAGTTCAAAAATGTCCAAACAAATTTCATTGTTGAAGTTAAAAATTCCATCAGTTTATGTTGTCATTCGTATACTACATGGCAGTAGATCATAATTATCCATGTCAATTTTTAGATCCATGCTAACTCAGATGAAATATGGACAGATATGTTTAGAGTGACAGGTCGAGAGCAACAACACATTCCTCCCACAAACCATTTGTTCATTAACCAAAATATAAATAAAGGGAAATACTTCAATTCATTTTTGTTTTCTTTCGACCATGTATAAATCTAATTAGCCCCAGTTTGATTTGGCTAAAAAACAAAATAAAATCTAAATCTAAATCAACAATTAATTTTAATCCTACATTTTATGAGACTCGCAACTTTTCAATTACACATTTCATCAATTTTTATCAAAATATATTAAAAATCTGATTTTTATATAAAATCAATCAGGGGCTTAGTCTCCAACCCAGAAAAAAATAATAATAATAAAAAAAATTCACATAAACCAAAATTCTACAGCAACACGATGAATGCAGGATTGAATTGTTAAAACTGGAAAGACATCATTGATTCTTGGTCAAACCCCAAACAAAAGTAAATTCCTCTCTAGTTTATTGAAACACCTTACAGTTACACCAAACAGAAGTCAGCATTTTGTGGATATAATCAAATTCTGTACATGTGCAGGTGTCTAATATAGTGCAACTAACACCATACTAATATCCAACCAAAATCATCAGGTGGTATATAGTATTGGACAATATAATGCAAATTATTATAGGTTCTTCATCTTCCTTATTACCATCGAGTGCTATGCCGTCCTCCCTAACAAACATGCAACGCACACACTATGCATTGCATCCTCCACTTTCTGTGAGAAAATAAAGTAAAAGGGGATAGAAAGGAATGCCCTGGGTGCTGCCTATTGCATTCCTTTGTTTCATGATCAAGATGAAAGAAATTAAAGATAAAGATCAGGGAAAGGCGGCAGTACTCATAAGGGAATCAATACTAAGGCCCCGTTTGATTCCCATAGATTGAAGAATGAGAATGAAAAATAAAACCATTACGGGACACCCACAAGAATTAGAAAGTCAAATATGTTGACTTGATATGATCAATAACGGTCATATTTTTCATTTTTGTAGCCAAAGAATGGGAATCAAACATGAGCTAAAAATGTATGCATTATCCCTAATGTTCAACACATACTAGAACCTCTGATTGCAATAATATATCATTCCAAGAGAAAATGTGAACTCAAATGCCACTTCATTTATTGTTTCCCAAGGGTGAACAAAGTTTGATTTGGCGGTTTTTTAACTATTTTCAAATCAAACTACTTTAAACGGTTTAGAAAAATTCAAAACCAAATCAAACCATTTCAATTTCCAAACCAAACCATTTTTTGCAGTATTTAGCAATATACAAATAGCATTTATGAAACAAGTGAAAAAATAAAAAGTCCAAAATTTCAATTTACCACTTAAATTAAAACCTTATAAGTTCTGACCATAAACGTTTCAATACTAATATGCTTGTCCAATACAATTTTAAACCAACAAATTTATATAAATTTAAACATAAAATTTAAGCTTGCGATTTCATTCATTAAGCCTATGCTGGCCCCCATTTTTTCAAAAATTCATTTTTTTCAAAACTCATTTTCAATCACACATTCTTCTATCAAATAATTTTATATATAAATCCAAAACTTTTCTTTACTTTTTAACACACATTTTCCAACAAAACACTGTTCTAAATTGTATTTTGGTCCAAAAATGGGGCTCAAACAAGGGCTAAATAAGGAAAGTATTATCATGAATAAATCATTATTTTCTTAAAGAGCCAATATAAGCTGACTAGCAAGTGAATTTGTTGAAATATAAATTGATCAATAGATAATATATACTAGGTAAAACAAGTATTTCAAACATAAAAAATTGGGTGAACAATCAATTTGGTTTCAAGCATTTCTTAACTATCGACACCTAAACCCAATCATTTCCAAATGAGTTGGTTCAGTTTCAAAATGGTCAAAGCCTAAACAACGTGAACCCAAACCAATGGTTTCAAAACTACAATTTCGATTTGGTTTGATGGTTTTTTTTTTTTTTTTTTTTTTTTCACCCCTACCGCTTCCCTCCCATTTTTGCTCACTAAATCTAACGTCCAAACCTATTTCAAGTGGAAAACTACATATATAATGAGAATGAAATAAACCCCCTCCAATCCAGAATTTTGAATAAATAAAAATTCAAAGGACACGAAGAAACATTTTCTACTAGAAGCACAATATTTTCTCTTTAGTTACTCACAGCTCAACAACAAAAATTAAACTACCACTTGCAAGAATGCGAACAAACACAATACCAACAAACAAACTCAGCTTGTCCCACAAAATAGAGAACTGAAAAAAACACAGAACAAGAATTTTCTATATAAGCTGCAAAAGAGAGAACAGAAAAAACATATAATTGAAATAACACACTCTCCTAAGTTTCTACACAGTTCTTAATACTCACAGAAGGAAATAGACTATTATATGATAAAATATACACAAAAAATAATATCAACTGATCCAATAAAGATAGTTAAAGGGTCACTATAATTTTGAAACTCAAACGTTCAAGGCACGAGCTAGAATATACAAAAGATATATAATTAAGGTTTAAAGAGGGACCTTCCGAATACTTTGGCTGCAGTCTGGACATAGAATTCGATCATTTCTTCGCGAGTGGGGGCGGGATCCTTGGGGAAATCGATGGTGATAAGCCAGTGATTGTAATCGCATCCTTCGAAGAGGATGGTGTCCGGCCCGATCTCGTCGGTCTCCGGGTTGAACGAGCGGTTCCGAGAAGATAGGGACAGTGTGGTAGTGGAAGTTAAGGATCGCCTTGATTGGGAGAGAAAGGTTCCAGTAGCGAATGTGATGGTAGTGTTGGAGGAAGGGGTAGAAGGTTGTGGCAAAATGGGTTCAGAGTGGAGGAGGGAGAAGTGGTGGTGGAGGAGGGAGGAGGAGAGGAATCGGGTGCCGCGAAGGCGGAGTGAGTTAAGGGCCATAGGCGGTGGAGGAGTTGTTTGTAGTGGTGGAAAGTTGGGGACTCAGGTTTAGGGTTTTAAGCTAACACCCTCATATTCATTTTCAATCCACATTATCAAAATAAAATAATTTTAACATTAAATCCATTTTATTTTTCAAACTTTCTAAGCAAAAAAAAAAAAAAAATAAATAAAAATCCAACAAACACCTAATTTTGTATCTCATGTTAATATATTTTTAATTATTATTTTTTTAAAGTCATTTTTAATTTCTATTTCTCTTGGTAAAATAATCCCCTATTTGATAACCATTAAGAAAAAACTCTTTTTTATCAAACTAATTTTCGTAATAAAAAATTTTACACGTAAATTAAAAAAAAAAAAAAAACCTCTTTTTAATGATTGTCAAATGTAAGCTCACACTCAAACTTAAAATTTTCCTTCTTTGACCACGTGTGTGTGTATGTATATATATCTAACTTCTAATAAAAAAGAAAATGAGTGTGTATTATTCATGGAAAAGTAAATGAATCCAATTTTACTATGCGTAATGTCATTTTTTATTTTTCATTTTGTTTATGTCAAATAAATGTTCTTCCACACATCATCCCACTAACATTAAAAAAATAATTATGTCAATTAAATGTTCTTTCACATATCATGCCATTAGCATTAAAAATAATAATAATAATTTTAGTAAATATAAACTGTTATGAGCAAAAAAAAAAATCTTTTTGCACATGAGCTTTAAAATAATAATAATAATAAACTCTTCGCACAGTGCGGAGAGATGGCAAACCATGTGCGGAGTAAAAAATGAAGAAAAAATTCATCCGCATAGTACGAAAAGATGACAAACCATGTACGGAGAGTTTGCCAACTCTCCGTACAGTGCAAAGTAAAAACAAAATCTCTTCGCACAGTACGGAGAGATGACAAACACTATGGCAAAACTCTCTGCACAGTGCGGGGAGATGACATTCTGTGCGAACAGTCCGCACAATCTGTGCGGATACTGTCCTCACAAAGTGCGGGCTCTCCGTACAGTGTAGAGTAAAAAAAGAAAAAAATCGAACAGTGCGGAGAGTTGGCAAACTCTTCGTACAGTGCAAAGTTAAAAAAAAAAACAAAAAACTCTCTGCACAGTAACTGTCACGTGCGTTGCATGAATTTTACATCTATTGTATTTTTATTAGTGTATGAATTTTAGTTTTTTGGAAAGTTTTTGAAGTAATATCTAGAAATATTTCCATGATATAAGAAAATAATTGCAAATTATTATTACAATTACATAACAGTATTGTGTCATCTAAAAAAAATATATTTATATATTTCATACTTGAATAAGAAATATACGAGATTATACAAATTATTTTGCTTGTTTTGATAATGTTGATATGATTGAGTTGAATGTAAAGATTATATTTCTAAATTTTGTGTAATTCAATATTGGAAGATTGAAAATTTAACACCGTATTCATATGTATTTATATTTTGTGTTTCATATATATTTAATATTTATTTTATACTTATATTGAAAAAATAAAAATCTGAAATTTTTTTTTGAAATTCGGTTTGATAAGTGAATGTACGGTGTTCTGCATTCTCAGTAATTGTAAGTGCAAAAATCAGTATATAAAAATATAGTAAGTTGCAAATACGGTAGACAACATATACTGTAAGCCGTAAATACGGCAAGTTATTTGCAAATACGTTAGGCTGCAAATACAATAGGCAGCATATACGGTAAGGTGCAAATACGGTAGACAGTATATACGGTAAGCTGTCTGCAAATACAGTAAGCTGTATATATGGATTATAATTTGTTATAAATGTATAAATTTTATTTAATATTGAATTTCTTAAGTATTAAATATTGTAATTCAATATTGTTTCTTTTTTTATAATTGCATTTTCGAGAATTAAAAAAAATGGTTATGAAATTGCTAATTTTTAAATATTTTTTTGGTTGAAAATAAAAATGACTTTTTTATGTTATTTGTAAAAAAATATATATTGTAATTTTATTAGCGTAATAAGAATATTTATTACGTATTTTTATTTTTTACATTTTATGAAGAATTATGTTTATAGTGATTGACAAATATTTTTCTACACAAGTATCATGCCAACAACATTAAAAAAATAATAATAATTTTAGTATATATAAACTCCATGAGACAAAAAAAAATCTCCGCACATGAACAAAAAAAAAAAAGACTTCGCAAAGTGCAGAGAGATGACAAACCATCTCTTCGCATAGTGTGAAGTGAAAAACAAAAACTCTCAGAACTTTATCTGCAAATTTCAAGAGGTCTTTTCTCAAACGACTTTTGAGCAATGTATTGAACACTTTAATTCCTGGCCTACAACCCGAAAATATAATTTCATTGAAAATTGTATTCGCTTCTAATGTCCAAGAGCTGTTATCAAGCAAGTATAAAAATATTGAATTTGGGTGGTACCCTAGAGCCTCCATTTGTGAAAGCAATGTCATAATACTATCAATATCCCATTCTTTGCATAGCTCACATATTGTTTCATTGCATGAATCACGAGAAAGCTCCTTTCCAGTATCATAAATATGATTTGGATGCTCAAAAATTGAGCTGTGACTGGAATTTAGAAAAGACATAATTGATTTTGAGCCATGTTTTTGGACTCTGTTTCTTTGTATATACGAAAAATTTATAATTTTGAAATTTGACTTGTAATTAAGGAATTTGAAAATAACTCTCCGTACTGTACGGAGAGTTTTTTTTCTCTATACTGTGCGGAGATCTGGTTTGTCATCTTTTTGCATTGTGCGGAGAGTTTTTTTTTATTCCTCACTGTGTGGAGAGTTTTTTTTCTCTTCGCACTTTTTTTTACTTCGCACATTGTTCAACCCTCTACACATTGTGCGGCAGTGTGAAGAGTTTTGTCATGGTGCGGACCAACTCTCCGCACTGTGCGAAGAGATTAACTCTCTCCGCACAGTGTAGAGAGTTTTTTTTGCTCTCCGTACTATGCGAAGAGTTGGTTTGTCATCTCTTTGCACTATGCGGAGTAATTGTTTTTTTACTCTGCACTGTGCAAAGAGTTTGCCAACTCTCACATATGGTTCAACTCTCTCCGCACTGTGTGAAGAAGTTTTTTTCTCTCTGCACTTTTTTTTATTTTTTTATTTGTACTTCTCATTTGGTTCAACTCTCTCCGTACAGTGCGAAGAGTTTTTTTTTTTTCAATTTTACAATATTGAATTACACAAAATTTAGAAATATAATCTTCACATTCAATTCAATCATATCAACACTATCAAAAAATACAAGCAAAATAGTTTGTATATTTCTTATTCAAGTATGAAATATATAAGCATATTTTTTTTAGATAACATACTGTTATGCAATTGTAAAAATAATTTACAATTATTTTTTTATATTATGGAAATATTTTTAGATATTGTTTTAAAAACTTTCTAAAACAAACTAAAATTCATACACTAATTAAAAAACGATAAATACAAAATTCGTGCAACGCACGTGATAGCATCTAGTGTGTGTATATATATGTGTGTGTGTGTGAACACAAGTCAAATGTAAAGGAGGAATCGGGTCGAATTGAGCCGACTTGAACCTCATGAGCTCAACTCATGCCCAGAACCTAACTCAATGTAGTCCTTTGGATCGTGGGCAGAGTCGAGACGTCCATGAGCCCATGATCCGACTCTTTTTTTAAAATATAAATATAAATCATATTCCTTTTTTTGAGCTCGGAACCTGATAATTTTAACGTATGCGAAATTAAAAATATATACGAACAAGATATTGCTTGTATAATTAAAAAAAAAATGTTAATAACACTTGCAAATCACGAAGTCAACTCTTAAAAATTTTCAACTATTTACTTGTTCACTTTATCTTACATCGAAGCTCCTCGCCTTTCCAGTCCTTTAATACATTAAATTCTTTAATATGTCTTCTTTAATTCTTGATCTATAATTAGACTAAACAATGTCACCTATACTTAGGGGTGTCAACGAGGCTAAACTCTCAATTCGGCTCAGTTTTTTGAAAGATGGTTTTTTTGGCTCGAGTTGAGCCGAGCAAAAATTCGGCCTTAAGGCTCGAACCGAACTTTCGGCTTGGACTTTAACGAGCCAAGCTTACTCGATTTTTGTTTTTTGGTTTTTTTGGTCCTTCTTTTAAAGCTGCCTTAGCTTAGTTGCCTGTTTCGTAGCTTTTTTTAAGCTGCCAAAAAGCTGTGAAACAGATAGAAGATTTAGTTTTTTTTTTTTTTTTTATAACGGGCTCGCCCAGCTCGAGCCGACTCCGCGAAATGGGCTCGGTTCGAGAAGGCGAACCCGATTGCCATTCCTAAAGCAGCATGAAAAATAAAATAAAATTTGATGCTAGGTAGATACTGGAGCTATATGTAGATATCGTGTTGGAGAAAGGAATAGAGGGTTGCGGCTAAATGGGTATGAGAGAGAACTGAGAAGTGGTACTAGACAAGGAGGAGATGTGTTGCTGGACAAGGAGTCAGTAAAGGGCCATTGACGGTGTTAGATGTGGAGAGTGGGGGGACTCAATATCAGGATTTAGGATTTTAAATTGAGCTAAAACCTCATTAAAAATTTATTTTTAAACACACATTATCCAAATAAAATAGTTTTAAAAATTAAATCCAATTTTCTTTCATATTTTTTAACCTCAAATGCTCCAAAAAAACCTTCGCCCACCTCCCCAGGCCCCACCCAAAAAAATAAAAATAAAAAAACTCTTAATCTTGTAACTTGTGTTAGCACATTTTTAAATACTATTTTCCTCTAACTCATTTTTAATTTTCATTTCTCTTGGTAAAACTACTCTGTTCGACAATTTTTTTTAATTCATTTTAAATCATACGTCATCACAATAAAATATTATCACGTAAAACCAAACTTTTTCGTATCTTTTAACCACACGTTATTCAAAAATTCATTTTCCACAAAAAATTCTTTTTAATAATTGTCAAACAGGAGCTTACACATAAATTTAAAATTTTCCTTTTTTTTTTTTAAAAAAAAGATGAATTTAAAAAAAATATATTTTAAAGAAATCTGTTAA